GGTGCCCGCCGGCCTGCTCTGCCTCGGTGAGTCGAAGTGCCGCCTCCTGCCTGGAGGTAGTACTTGCTTTCATTTCAGAAATGAAGAAAAATGGGGAGGGTTTGATTTTTGTCACTAAACAAAATTCCTTTGAAATCTAAGCAGCAATAGAGAGTCCTTGCCATGCTGCCTGAGCGTCCCCAAAAGGCGCTCCCCTCCTCCCACTGTGCCCAGGTCATGTGACCCACGGGAAGATGCCCTTGGGGACCTTGGCCCCAACACGCCAGTTCCTTCCTGTGAAGCTGATGGCTCGTGGGGACATGGCCCTGGGGCCTGGGACACGGGCCGCCCTCACTCCCCCAGCAGCCTGCGTGGCGTCTGCGCTCAGGGGCCGTGTCCCTTCCTGAGGAACCATTGCTTTGCCAGGACTGACGGTGGCGGTGGACTCCTATTTTTGGCGCTACCTTGTGTGGCCGGAAGGAACTGTGCTCTGGTATAACACCGTCCAGAACAAAAGCTCTAACTGGGGAGTATCCTTTACCTGTCACCGTGGGATGGCCCACTGGGCAGGGTGCCGGCGGCCAGGGCCTCGCTCAGGCCAGGCGAGGAGCTGCTCTCCTCCCAACTGTCTCATCTGACGGGGCACCTGAGCGGTGTGGCAGCAGCCATAGCACCAGGAACGGCACCTTCACCCTGTCCACCCAGGGACCCTGCAGCGCAAGGCTGGGGTCTCTGCTCCGGTCCTGCCCACCCCATGGAAACAACTCCTTGCGTTTGGAGCCCCAGCTGCCCCCTCAGTCCTGTGGCTGCTCTCTGGTGCGTTACTGTGGGATATTAAACCCACAGGAGGGACCGTGGGTAGGTCCCCAGTGCACCCGTCACCCAGGGCAGTGGTTTCCATGGAGGGAAAAGCCCTGCACAGCCTGGTCACCATTCACTGGATGTGCCGCTGCTGCCCAGGCCCGGCCCTGGCCTCTGTCCCCGAGTGAAGGGGATCACATGGTGACCTGAGGCCCGGGGGTCCGGGGCGCCCCGGACAGAGACACCTGTCAGGGCTGTGTCTTCCCTGTGCTCCTGGCCTGCACCCGACTGGCTGGATGCATGACCATCGCTGACACGTGGCCTCCTTGACCCTCCCGCCCAGACCTCGCCCCTGCTGTGGTACTTCTACTCGGCCCTGCCCCGGGGCCTGGGCAGCAGCCTGCTGTTCGTGCCCCTGGGCCTCGTGGACAGAAGGGCCTGGGCCTTGCTCCTGCCGGCACTGGGGTTCGTGGCCCTGTACTCGCTGCTCCCCCACAAGGAGCTGCGTTTCATCATCTACACCTTCCCCCTGCTGAACGCCGTGGCCGCCCGGGGCTGCGCCTACCTGTGAGTGCTGGCTCTGCCCGCAGCTGCTGAGTCTCAAAGGGGACTGTTTGCAAGGGAAACAGGGCGGCCCTGACTGTCTCCAAGGCAACGGCCTCTGGGCCAAGCCCGGGTCAGGATGGGCCACGCACTGGCCAATGGCTCTGCTTGGTCCGTCTCTGTCTTCAGTCAACCCGGACACGTGTCTCAGGCCTGTTTGCACATGGCTGTGCTGTGTCCAGGGCTCAGTCTCTCGGGGCAGCAGGAGAGAGCGGCCAGGCAGGGAGGGTGTGAGGCGGGGGTCAGGTGAAGAAGGGCTGCTCAGAGCGGCAGGCTGGCTCGCTTTGCGGGCTGGGAAAGGGGGCCCTAGTTCATCAGATCCCAGCTGGCCACTTGTGAACGTGGAGTCTTCCCATGATGCCCTGCACTGAACTCACTCTCCCCAACCGGTAGTCCGGCGCGGGGGTAGCAGAGCAGGCCAGTGGGGACCGGAGAGCAAGGGACAAGCTGTGTGTCTGGCAGGAGGCAGCGGGAACTGGGGGCTCCCTCCCCCCACAGGGACGCAGCAGTTACTCCTGGACATTGATCCCGGGGGCTGGGGTGAAGGTTTGGGTGGTAGATTTGCATCTCAAAAGGCAGAAACGGAACTCATACTCACAAGCTCTGCATTCGCTGCCCGTGAGCGGTCCAGGGCCACCGTCCCCCCCCAGGATGGGCTGGACCACAGTGAAGACCATTGGTGGTGACATCGTTCACACCGAGGCTCTGCAGTCCTGATCGGCCAACGCCTGGTTGAGAAGGGCTCAGCGGGGCCTGCGCGGAGTCTGGTCAAGGGTCCCCTGAGTTGACACAGGCCAGCACCTCTGATGGCCCAGGCGGACGGTATTCTCTCCGTGGGCTCAGGTCTCTTGGGGCCTCTGCCCCGGCTCCGTGTCCGCCGGCTCCCTGACAAGCCGCACAGCATTCAGTGTTTGGCCTCGGGGCTGTGCTCGAATCTAGTCATAACTCAGGGAGTTTCAAATTCTAATATCAATTTTAAATTGTCATTTTGGGTGGAATTTCAGAGAGAAAACTTGTAAGGTAGTTGACCCACTTCCTTTGGTGATTTATATACATACTTGGTGATTAACCTTGTTAGGACTCAGCGAAGGGGACCAGCAGGTTCATATTCGTGACATTTCTTCCACCCGTGGCTGTCACTCACTTTCCACGAAACGACTGCTCTTTTCCAGGCTGAACAACTACAAGAAGTCCTGGCTATACCGAGCAGGCTCCCTCCTCGTGCTCGGGCACCTCGCGCTGAACGCCGCCCACTCGGCCACGGCCCTCTACGTGTCCCACTTCAACTACCCTGGTGGCGTGGCCATGCAGCGGCTGCACGAGCTGGTGCCCCCCCGGACAGGTAGGTGCTCGGTTGTGCGGGACCCGCTGCAGCTCGGGCAGAGGCGCCCGGCCCAGTTCTAACCGTGCACAAGGTTTTCCCCAGACGTTGTCCTGCACATCGATGTGGCTGCTGCACAGACGGGCGTGTCTCGGTTCTTGGAGGTCAACGGCGCCTGGAGGTATGTTCCCGCCATGGTGTCACTGCAGGTGGGGACAATGGTGATGGGGCTGGCGTGGGGCCATGGCCCAGGTGCACGCGTTCTCCTGTCTTGCAGATATGAGAAGAGGGAGGATGTGCAGCCTGGGTCGGAGCACATGCTGGCCTACACACACCTGCTCATGGAGGCGGCCCCTGAGCACCTGGCCCTCTACAGGGACACACACCGGGTGCTGGCCAGTGTCCCTGGCACCACGGGGGTGAGTCTGAACCTGACCAGACTGCCTCCCTTCAACGTCAACCTGCAGACAAAGCTGGTGCTTCTGGAGAGACGTCTCAGGCCCTCCTGAGGGAACGCCTAGCGCCTGATGAGAACAGCACAGGCACGACCACACACATGACGTGCCTCCTACACAGGCCCTGGAAGGCCGGCCAAAGCCACCCCCGCCACCCCTGAGACAGGGACCCCACGTTTGCACTGCACACCAGGGGGCCTGGGCACAGCCGGCTGCCCTGGGAAGCTGCTTTGGGGAGGCAGCCACATCTGCTGCCCGTGGTGGGCCTGAGCACCTAACCAAGTGCAGCCTTTGGGAAGGTCACGTGTCTGTAGCTGTGAAGCCGGAGCCTTCGCACCTGCTGGGTGGCGTACCCCGACCTGAATCCCATGCTGGGCGAATTTTTCTCCATCGTCCCAGGGACACAGTTCCATCACGAGGAAATTTCAGACATACACGTTCAAGTGGGATGAGAATTAAAGTTTGTACATCTTTTCTTCTTAGCCGTCTTATATGTGATGTTTCCAGAGAGTGCCTTCACCTAGGTTTTATTTTTATGTGATGAACTAGTGGCCCGGTGCACGAATTTGTGCACATTGAAAGGAAATTAATTAGAATAAATATTTTAATATCGCTATTTGCCCTTTCTCTATAATAGAAGTGTCAACCAAATTCACGATCAATAATGACAGATTGAAACATGTGTTTGCAATTGACGCCAGCAAGAGCTTTATATGTATCGCGCATGCGCAAGTCAACTTAGCCTTTTCTAGATATAGAATAAACTTGCTTCATTAGACCTGCTTTCTGATTTAGCTAAACTTTTTCCAGCCCAGTGAAGCACCCCAACTTCCCTTCCAGGTAATTGTCAACAACACAGCAGTAAATATCAACACGAAGCAGATGATTATTGTAGATCGCGCAGGGAGAACAAAGGGTGAAATATTTAACTACAGTAGTGTTTGACTATATTCTGTGCAGTGAGAAAACCTGCAGTCATTTTCAAGCTCCACCATTTCTTGCTTTTCAGTCGGGTCAAGTTTCTAAGCTTTGTAAATCTCCGTTTTCTGGCTAATGGAAAGAAAATAGGATTCTACTGAGTCTCCTATCTACCTACTCCAGGACTTCTGTGAGGATCAAATGAGATGAGGCATGGGAAAACACTAAACAGACATTTGGTTAAAGCAGTGGTCGGCAAACTGCGGCTCGCGAGCCACATGTGGCTCTTTGGCCCCTTGAGTGTGGCTCTTCCACAAAATACCGACTTCTGCGCACGGGCCACAAAGTTTCAGTCGCACTACATGCGCGCCCGCACGTGGTATTTTGTGGAAGAGCCACACTCAAGGGGCCACAGAGCCGCATGTGGCTCGCCAGCTGCAGTTTGCCGACCACTGGGTTAAAGTGTGAAATGTTTCCACCTGGCTATAAAGCAAGTCATATTCCTGGGCTGAAGAAACTACAAGGAAGCTAGTCACTAGGGAGAGGAAGCCGGAAGTTGCTACGTGACGTCATTACCCAGTGCTCACAGCCACCGTTTCCGGGCTGGGCTGGGCTGGGCTGTGGGCCACATTTTGCACCATGGCAGCATCGGCTGTGATTCGGTGGGCTATCACTCTGGGGTGGTGGCGAGGCCTGTGTCCCACTTGGGGGAAGCCGAGTGTTGCTTTATTGGTGCCAGGTCTGCCGTTTCTCTGTAAATGGCCAGTGCGCATCACAGCAGCTCCTGTGTTGAGCGTCTGCCCCCTGGTGATCAGTGTGCGTCATAGCGACTGGTCGGACAGTCGGACACTTAGCATATTAGCCTTTTATATATATAGATTGGGCACATTTATGCTTTACTGAACCACATTTATTAAGTAGCCAAAGTGGGTCTTTGACACCGAAGTTAATACAAAGAAGGGTGTCGTTGCACATGTGTGCACACACATACCACATGCACACACATACCACATGCACACAAATGTGACTTAAGTTCATAAAGACAAGCTATTGTCTGAGCATTTGAGAGTGAGTTGCCTATCGCATGGCCTGGACCCCTGAAAACCCTGGTATGTCTAGGAAAGACACCTTGCAGTCACTGTTTGCTCCACAGCAACTGACTGGCAGACTGCAGACCCTCAGACCAGGACCTCCTGCAGCTGTGCCACACTAGGCGACCACTGACCATGTGGCCAGCAGTCTGCAGGGCCTCCACACCTGCCAGTCAGCACTGGGCACTGTATGTGTGTGAGTTCTCGCCTGCCCCCATTTATCAGTTTGTCATCAGTACTTGTTATTTATCTATGATTGGCATTTGTCGCTCATAGGTAATTTCTCAGCATTCAAATATTTGTCAATTATTGGCATGTGTGTCTGAGTTGCTGCTGGGCCTGGTGGTCTGAGAGTCACCCCGTCTACTTATCGTGTTCAGATTGTGCAGGATTCACTCCACGGGGTTGTCAGGCTGTCACATGCCCCATCATGTTAACTTCTGGAGCACTGTCCTACTTCTTGGCATAAGGTGTGCACTCTCGCTCTTCTAGGCCTCTGTCCACACCCTGGAACCAGCCATTTCTCTGAGGGCACCTTTTGGCAGGGAATGGTTTTACAAACCAAGATCTGGTACAAATGTGCTCACTGCTATTGGTACGTCTGTTTCTAGGTCCCTTCTGTGGACCGAGCTAGGCAGGCTAGGGGTGCTGTGTGCGCGCGTGCACGCGCGCGCGCGCACACACACACACACACACACACACACGAACGAGAAATGGTGTGTGCCGACACCTCCAATCCCACCAGTACATGGGCTTGTGTTTGTCTCCCGCAGTCCACACCTGTCCCGACTTCCACCGTGAAACCCTGACCCCAGCAATAGCAGGCGTTTGCTCAGCAGGGTAACTAGCTTTGGAATCGCTTTGCCATACGACAACAGAAACAAACCCGTGGAACAAAGCTCAGCTCTTTGCAACCTTCACTCTAGTACCCATGACTGGGGTTCAAGTTCGAACACTGTCCTGGATTAGTCCCCTGGATGGTGGTGTGCTTTTCATCTTATTTATCGTTGGGTTCATGCTTTCTGCTTGTTTTAGTCTTGGGGTCTGACTTCCCATTCTTTCCAGTCAGTCGGTCGTGGCCAAGGTCTGTGCAGGGATGTCACTCCCTCCATTTCCTGTCACTAATGCCCTGGTTTCCTTGGCTGCCCTGGGCTTCTGTGAAGGTAAGCAAAACCTCCCTTAATGCAGGGTGGCATTCTGTACCTGCTCTCCTGGAGCACTTGGAGTCACTCTGCCTGTCCCTGGAGGGGCCTTTGTGATTGAGACACAGTCACCCTGTGTATGTGGACGCTCATTTCTTCAATCTCCTATGTGGGCATTTAGGCGGTTGCCAATATTTTCAAACTTCAAATGATGCTGCTTTAACTACCCATATGCATTTGTACTTTCATATGGCTTAAGGGGCATTTTCAAGGTAAGTTCCTAGCGGTGAGGTACTGGATCATGGTCAGTGTGTGTTAGCTTGGCTCAGTCTTGCCAAATTCCTCTTCATGGAGCAGCCTGAGACCGAAAGGGTCAATTAAGCCCCATCAAGCTGCCAGTCTGTGAGATGAGTGGTGGTGTCTCACAATAGATATGCTCTTCCTCCCCTGGGGGTTGTAGTTGGTGTCCTACAGCTTTAAGGGCTCTCTTTTCGGTAAATGATTCACATCTCTTGTCCATTCTCCTTTGGATTGTTGGTCATTTTCCTTTTCATTCTACAATTCTTCAGTTCGTAGGGTGTTCACCCATTATTGCAATGTGTGTTGAAGTAGTTTCCCCGTTTGTCTTCTGACTCTGCAGATGTTCTCAACTTGAGGTTTTCATGTTTATGAGTCCTCTTTCCCGCAGCGTAGTTGGGAGGTTCCCCACAGGAGTTCAGCCTCATCTTGTCTCCATGCTTCTATAGATTCTTTTTCACATGTAGACCTGTCACTTGTTTGGATTTTGATTTTGTACAGTGTGAGGAGTAGGGCTAATTTTATCTTTTCCACATGGTGTGTACTTACTAAAGGTCCATCTTTGCCTCGGAGATCTGAAGTCAGAAACTGAAATACATTAAGATTTGACAATCCTACATAATAAAAGCCTAATATGCTGTGTCCAGTTGTCCGTTCAACCAATCAAAGCATAATATGCTAATGATATTGCTAAGGCTGCTCAACCGCTCGCTATGACATACACTGATTGCCAGGGGGCAGATGCTCTGACTGGTAGGTTAGCTTGCTGCTGGGGTCTGGCCGATCAGGACTGCGGGAGACGGGCCAGACATGCCCTGGAGCCCTCCCACAGTCCCTCCCTGGCTGATTGTTCACCAGTGGGGTCCCTCGGCCTGGCTTGCGCCCTCTCACAATCTGGGACCCCTCAGGGGATGTCGGAGAGCCAGTTTCAGCCCGATCCTGCAGGCCAGGCCGAGGGACCCCAGTGGTACACAAATTCATGCACCAGGCCAGTTACAAATAAAGCTCCTTTAAATATCCGTGTGCAGGTTTTTGTGTGCATGTTAAGTGTCCAGTTCCTTTGGGTGATAACCAAGGAGCATGATTGCTGATTATAAGGTGAAAATGTGTTCAGTTTTGTAAGAAACTGTCTCGCAGAGTAGATGCACCACGTCACATTCCCACCAGCAGTGAGTGAGTGTTCCTGCTGCTCCACGTCCTCACCAGCATCTGGTGGTGTCAGTGTTTGCTCCTGTCTCTTCAATCTGTTTGTTGCCTTGTGGTGCCTTGTTTTTCCTTGAAAGCCAGACAAGATGCACCAAGTGGAAGGAGCTGCTGTAAATAGGTCTTAGTGACATGGTGATGGGGTGGGGGGGAGGGGAATGTTGTCTGGTCCTAAGATTTTTTTTAAATTTATTGATAATGAAGAGAAGAAGTAAAAGAGAGGGAGAATGAAACATTGATTTGTTCCACTTATTTATTCATTCACTGTTTGCTTCCTGTATGTGCCCTTACGGAGATCAAATCCACAACCTTGGCATCCTAACCTTTATCATCCTAAGAAAAAGCCAGCATGCTCAAATTTCCAGTAGAAAATGGCAAATAAGTTTAGTTCCAGAAACTGAGTTCCCCATTTATAAATATACCAAAACATAGTCAGTGCAAAGTGAGATTAATAACAGGTACAGTATTTTGAGGAAACAACTTTTCTAAAATGGCACAGGCAATGAATGACTTATTTCACCCAGAATATTTATTTGGTGTGAAATAAGGAAATGAACCCTTTTCTATATGTTGAAGCAAAAATTCTGAAGACATATTAAAAGAATCTGACAACTGACACTTCATTCTGATGTCCCTGGGATTCTAAAATACCCGTGATAGCCGAGTCTTCCGTATTATAAGAAAAACCTAAACACCTAAGCTATTCTTACAACTGTAACATAACAACATTCTTCCCTGTTAATAAACCACCTCTTCTACAAAGAATTTTACACGTATTTTGATCAAATTGGGGGGCACTACACACATTTCAAAAGACAGCTTCAAAGTGTAGAGACACTAAGTCAGAGGCTTGGAGGTTCAATCACCACAACTGTTATAAATGTGTCATGTGGTCCACTGGCAGGACAACAGGCAGCAAGGAGCACGTTATAAATAATGGGGATGTCCCCGAGTTAACACCACGTGTAACATCAGCACAAAACCAGAACATGGGGAAGTTCTCCTTACCAACCACCATGTAACTGACATTCCATGATACTTCTGTTTAGTTTTGTCTTCAAATGCCACATCTCTCTTGTAGCAAACAGTATCTTCCACAATATTCTCTGCACTCCTCACATATGTATAGGGCTACAGGTAAAAACCACTCAGTCAGGATGGCTTCTACTCCACCTATTTCCAGATTTTATTTGACAGCCACAAAGGCTGTTTTGTTGCAACTAAAGCAATTTTTAACTAAAATACAGTACCTGATTTGTTCTTACATAATTAAAGGCTACAGAATAAAATTGTTTAAATCTACCCTGTCTTCTAGTAAAATGAATTACTAACCCCCGCTTTTTATTTTGATAGTTTCTTAAAGCTGGGAACAGTGAAACAAGGATGGATTTGAAGAGGAGCAACAGAAAGAGACTAGGTGGGGCTGCTGTAGCTCACTGGGAAGTCAGAGAAAGAAGGTGGCCTTGGAGACAGGTTCAGGGTGCCAACCTGGATTCGCTGCTGCTGCCCACCACTCTCCTATTTAAAAGTCTCATGGGGTCCCATAGAGTTTAGGAGATGCACACCTGAGAGGGATGAAGAGGAAGAAGGGAAAGGCATGGGAGTGCTCCCAGGAGAAGAAAAAGGTCAACTCCCAGTTTTTAAAAAACTTTATAGTTATGGGTTAAAACCTAATCATCCTGTTTCATAATTAACAAGACAGGTTATTTCTAATGGCTTTGTAAAAAACACACCGTGTTACCTGGCTTGAAGGACTAGGAGTAAGGCACATATAGACATTATGGTGAGACTTCAAGAGAAACTCAGTGTGGACCTGAGAGTGCCCGGTCTGATGTCCTCCTTGGCACCAACTGGTGCCAACCAACAGCCTGTGACAAACAGCTGGTGCCTAATGAGCAACAACACCTTTAGTCTGGTGGCTCCATTGTGATTTCAATACTGAAAATATATTAATGGAAGATTCACTTTCAAAAAGATAAGTTTTTCAAAATGTTCCATCATGAGCCTGGACTGGCCAAAGCTACCGTTCTCAGTGGGTGTGCTGAACAGCCTTTCTGAAGGGACAATACTCGGGGGACAACCCAAAAACCTGACGGCCAAGGCTGAGAGTCCTGGCCAGGCAGACTTCTTTAGGTTCCAGTAGGTAAGTGGGTCACAGCTGTGTTCAAGCACCTCCTCCTCCAGGTAAGAAAGCACCATGGCCTCAGGAACCTTCATCTTTTCTCTTGGGCCTTTCTTTTTTATCTTGGCCATGAGTGACCACAGGCTTTCATCCCCACTGGAGTCTCTCGATGAGGAGCCTGAAGCACACCCATTGGAGACAGGTATGTCCTCTGAGGTAGAATTCAGCATTTCTAGTTCCCTGATTAAATCCTGCTTGTACTGCTCCGCCTCCTCCTCGGAGAACAGGGAGGCTTTGTAACGAGGGTCCAACAGTGTAGCAAAGATGTACCTGGGATCGTGGAGGGTGGCGGACAGTCGGCTCACCATGGCTTCCTTCAGAGACTTCAGCATGGTGTCGATGCCCATGGTCTCCTCAAACAGCATCTCAATTTTTCTGTTCAGAATGTGGATCATGGGGATGACCTGGCTGAGGGTAGACATGTGGCTACTCATCTCCCGACTCGCAGCATCAAAGGGCTTCAGCGCATGACACACAGACTTCATGACCTCCCACTGGTCGCAACTGATCAGTTCTCTGAAATTACACTCGATGGACATCTCGTTAATTGCTCTCTTCTGCTCAATGAGCCGTTCGAGCATATGAAACGACGTGTTCCATTTGGATGGGACGTCCTGAATAAGGTGGTGGGGTGGCAATTCATACTCCTTCTGCAGCTCTGCCAGTTTCTCTTTTGCTGCATGTGAGCGAAGCACCCGCTCACATAGCTTCCGAGCAATGCTGAGTAAATTCTGCACCATTCTCTGGCTTTTAATGGCCTCGTTAACAATGAGGTTCACCGTGTGACTGAAGCACTGCACGCTGGAGTGCTCCCCTTCATTCAGCGTCTTTCCTATGCTGGGATTGTCAGTCACTGTAATGCCAACCTGAAGGCCAGTGGATGTCACCCAGGCCTCCCACCAACATTCCAGCTGCTTCTGAATGCTGTTGCCGCTATAGTCGCAGTCAATCTGTGACACGTCTAACAGTGCTGAGCAGTGGTGATCCTCACAGTGCCAGACTGTCGACTTGAAGGTGATCCAGTGAGCAGTGAGTGTCAGGTACTCCCGGGTCTGGTTACTTATCCATATTCCAGACGTGAAGTGGACCACACCACTCTCAGCTTCCTTAAGGTGTGACATAATGATCTGTTTCACATTATCGTACATTCCGGGGATAGCTGTCCTGGAAAAGTAGGAAGGGGAGGGCAAAGAGTACTGAGGTTTCAAGTATTCGAGCAGCCTGTTAAAGCCAACATTATCAACAAAAGAATATGGCTGAAGGTCAAGTGCAATCATTTCAGCTATGAGACTTGTTATCTTTTTGGCAACTGGATGAGAATCATAAAACTTCTCATCAGTGTTGTCAAAGGAGGAAGCTCCTGACAATTCTGCGCTCAGGGGCACGCTGACGCCTGGAGGAGAGGGCAGCATGGTCTTGGGGACATCGGTCTTCAGCACGCTGCCGTGGAACCTTTGTAAATGCCTCAGAAGACAGCTGGTGCCCAGGTTAGTTGGCTTCTTGCCCCTGCTTATCGTCCGGCCACAGTGCAAGCACACGACTTTAGTGGGGTCTGCAGAGCAGACAGAAAAGTGATTCCACAGCTTGGAGGTCTTCTTACTGTGAACGGGAAATAGAACTGGACGGCTTTTGGTAACCACTGCTGGAAGGTCAGTTAGTTTGGAGGAAGTTTCTGTGGATGCCAAGGTGTTGTATGGAGGGTTTGCCAAACTAGCCCCCAGGAAGCCCTTTTGGTTCCCAACAACTTCTGGGTGGCGCCTGTAGAGATGTCTCATCAAACAGCTGGTGCCCACATCACCCTTCCTTCCTCGACTGATGACACAGCTGCAGTGTCTGCACACCGCCTTCAGACTGTCCATGGGGGCGAGGGAAAAGTGATGCCAGACCTCCGACTTCAGTCTCTTCATCACCTTTTGATTCTGTTGGAATATAACACCAGACTCAACCATGTGAGGGCTCGACCCATCACCCTGCTGCTTCTCAGGGGAGGACACCAACGAGGCCTCGCCCACATCATCAGAGGATGACAACACTGATGCATCTTCCATCGGTGAATCCCCAGGCTTTAGACATGCCTGCAGGTGCTCAGTAAGCTGGTCAGGGGAGGAGGACGCCCAGGGGGACTCTTGTACCTCGTTGCCTGGTGATGAGGACATAGGGCTTGGATTTCCCTCCTGCGTTGGTAGGGCAGGCAACAAAGTGGTGGGTGCAGAGTAGGGTGGCGTAATAGCTGCACCCTCACTCTTCTCCTGCAGTACGATGGCGCGGTGTGCCCGCCACATGTGCCGGATGAGGCAGCTGGTACCCAGGTCCTTCCCGTTTTTCCCTCTGCTGAACTCACTCATGCAGTGAATGCACACGGCCTTGGAGCTGTCCAGAGGTGACAGGTAGAAGTGCTTCCAGACTGCAGACCACCTTCGGGATCCAGAGGTACTCTTTGGAAGTGGAAAGCTCTTCTCTGGCCCACTCTCTGCAGAGTCATCATGCTGGGGAGTGGGGAGCGGTTGGGGTGGCTCCACCAGGGCTTCTTCCTGCCTGTATTTCTCAGAGACGGACACATCAGAGGAGACCTCTTCAGAAGATACAACAGATCCAGATTCTTCTGTCACTTGCTCAGAAGATGGGATCTTGGAGGCTATTTTCTGGACAAGTTTGATGGGTGACAGTACGGTGCCCAGGTCTCCAAGGGGTGTGGGCTGAGGAGGGAACACCAGTGCAGGGGAGGAGATGGATCCCAGGGTAGACACACTGCCTTCCTCCTGGATGAGTGCTGTGGGGTGTGCCCTCCTCACGTGCCGCATGAGACAGCTCGTGCTCAGGTCCTTCTCGTTTTTGCCGCGGCTGAACTCTTTCATGCAATAAACACACACTGCTTTTGTTGTATCCTGAGGAGAGATGAAGAAATGTTTCCAGGCCGGAGACTTCTTCCTGGAGTTCATGCTGCGGCTGGACAGGAGGCTCTGCGTCACAGCTTCCATGGCAACATCGTACAACGTGCTGCTGTACTGTGAGAACAGGGCCCCATAGTCGTCCTCGTGGTCGGCAGGGAAACACTTCCCCGGGGGCTTACAGCTGTAGCTCGCTTCTCTGATCTCTGCCTGTTCATCACCACTTCCAGCTGCTTTCCTGTCCTCTTGTTCAATCTTAAAGTCCACTCTTTCCAAGCTGTGATTCTGAATTCCATCATCTTCTTCTTCTATTTTAAAGTTTATTTTATCAGAAACAAAGTCACCATCCCCTTTGGGCGGATGGGTTTCCTGGTTATTCTCCATGACTCACCATAACTATTCTGGCTGTGTCATCATGTTGCTATCTCAGGTTGGTAAGAAAATGATCCAAGCTCTCAATTTGCCCCCAAACATCCATTATCTTCAGTGTTTTCAAAATAATTCTAACTTTCAGGATGTTTATGAATATGGCTAATCATACATGTTACTGGAAAACAGAAGATGCAACTCAGGAGCACATCATCTCAGGGCCCAGACCACTGCTTTCCAGGAGTTATATAAAGTACTTCTTGGTGCAGACGTAAATTCATGCTGTGTAGACCTGCTTGTTGCCTTGAAAACAGGATCGCCGCCATCTTGATGGTCCTGCATTACCTACAAAACATGAAATCAGGTCAAGCACTTAACTGATTTACACATTTCAAACCTTGTAGTGCCAGGGATCTATCAGCTTCAATTTGCATAGAAAAAAAATTCTATAATGGTAAATTAAAATAGAAAAGCTCGTTCTTTGACTTTTTTACAATCCACTTACACAATGAAAATACCCCCAAACTGGAAAATGAATTAAAAAATAAAGATAGGAATTTAAATTCAAATAGCCTATTAATAAAGGATTGGGGCAACACAGAAAAAACCTTGCATGTCATACAGAGGTTGGTTTGGGCTAGAATTGATACCTGTACCTGCCATCCATTTATTGGCGGCGCCTGCTGCTGCTATAATCAGCAAAGCTGAACTCCCTGAAATCAATTTCATTCCCCTTTGCTACCAGAAAGGACACATCAATGAGGAACTAAGAAGCCTGCAGCTAATCTCTAAAACAACCAATTCACAGACTAAACACTGATTGTCATGCAGACAAGGAGGTCCCTGCTTAAAACTCACCCAGTATGTTTAAATCTATGAGATTATATAATACCAAAATAAAGTCAACTGGTCGCCTTTGGAGGATGATAGGAAAACGATTCATTATTTTGAAAACCGATGCAGAGTGAGCATGAAAGTGAGAATTCTCCTGGGTGGGGTTTCCCATTCTCAACCTGGCAGTGCTTGATCAGACTTGGTGACTTACCAAGGTAGGGAGCACCTTTCATTTAATGGTCTTAAATGCTTTTACAACTAAATATATTCAATTTAGAAAAGCCTATTTTTACATTTTCCATTCAAATCAAAGCACACTGAATAAAAACTACACCAAGATACCGGGTCTCACTGGATCAGATGGGCAAAGACCCAAAAGCTTGGCAACCTCTGTCATGAGGCTGTGCAGAGTCCTGGTGGGGTGCACACTGGGACAACACCCATGCAGAGGACCTTGCATTTTCCCATGGACCCAGCAATCCCAGTGCTAGAAACAGACCCTGACCACGGTCCTCACCAAGTACAAAACAACATCTGCCCAAGATTAGTCCCCATGGCATTACACAGCCAAAGGTCCGAAAACCACTCAAACACAATCACTACGGACTGACACCTTCATAGACATGTTGAATAAATCAGCAAGACACACAAGTGTAAACGGTACTTGCAACCTGTTATGAAAGACAGGAGGGAAAGCAAGGGCAGCTATAGGTGCGCACATGCCTATTTATGCAGGATAAAGCAGAAACAGAAATGGCTGTCTATAAGTGTGGGAGATCAGGATGTACCTGAGATTTCTGATCATATCTTGTATAATTTTTATTTACGAGAGCCATGTAATTATTTTGTACATAAAAATAAAATTTAGCCATAACCGGTATGGCTCAGTGGATAGAGCGTCGGCCTGCGGACTGAAAGGTCCTAGGTTCAATTCCGGTCAAAAGCATGTACCTTGGTTGCGGGCACATCCCCAGTGGGAGGTGTGCAGGAGGCAGCTGATTGATGTTTCTCTCTCATCGATGTTTATAACTCTCTATCCCTCTCCCTTCCTCTCTGTAAAAAAAATCAATAAAATATATTAAATAAATAAATAAATAAATAAAATTTAAAAAATTCCAGCCCTAGCCAGTTTGGCTCAGTGGATAGAGTGTTGGCCTGCAAACTAAAGGGTCCTGGGTTCGATTCCGGTCAAGGACACATGCCCAGGTTGCAGGCTCGGTTTCCAGTGGGGGGCATGCAGGAGGCAGCCAATCAGTGATTCTCTCTCATTGATGTTTCTCTCTCTCTCTCCCTGTACCTTCCTCTTTGAAATCAATAAATATTTTTAAAAAATTCCAAATTCAAACCAAAGAAACCTAATTGTATATTAAAGAGGCAATATAACCACAAACAAAAGAATATTCATCAAGGGCTTTAAAACATGTACCTTAATTATCCATCTTAAGCAGGGCAAAGGTGACTCTGAACAACACAAGTTTGAATTGCCTGGGTCCACTTACAAGTGGATTTTTTCAATTAATACCCGTATTACTGTTTCTAATCTGTAGTTGTGTTGATCTACAGGGCAGTGTGTGTGTGTGTGTGTGTGTGTGTGTGTGTGTGTGAGAACTGATTCCCCATGAATACCAACGGCCAACTAAGTTTTTGGGGAATCAAATTCCATACATGGATTTTCAACTGCATAGGGGGTTGGTGTTAAGAATACTCTTTGCACAGCTTGAGTTGTTTACGAACCACCTCATGTGTTCACGTCCAATCAGGATTTAACTGGAACAAGTGGTGGTGGGGGTGTGGTGTGTGTGTCAAATAATCACCTGTCAAGTGGACTACAAGTCTGAGCTTTCTTCCAATAGAGGAGATGCACTGTGGCCTTTGAAACTTTGTGAAGCTCCATAGAGTATCTCTAACTTGTCCTAGAGCTCTTCCTGAGAAAATGTGAATCATGACAAGCAGACATATTCTAAGGATTACAGCTGGCACATTCCTCATGGACATCCCAGTGGGAACCCTCAGAGTTTGCAGCCAAACTCCTAAGCAGATTCCTCTCTCAAGACAACTTTGTTCAGTAACCAAAATTAATTGTCATTGAAATCTGGCTCATTCATGGCACTTAAAAAAGAAAGGCCTACTAAGTCCTTCCTAGTGCCCTAATTGTATCACTGTTATTGAGAAAACACCAAAAATTAGAATTTCTATAGTAAAAGTCACCAGGATGTCCTTGCTTTATTTAGCAAACTGGCCTCATTAAAGTCTAAAGTGGAAAATTTTAAATGTCCTTTTTTATTTTTTTTAAATGTTTTTTAATTGATTTCAGAGAGGAAGGGAGAGGGAGAGAAACATGAGTGATGAGAGAGCATCATGGACCAGCTGCCTCCTGCACGCCCCCTACTGGGGGCCCAGCCGCAACCTGTGCACGCGCCCTGCCCTCCCGGTTCTTAGGCTGATGCTCCACCGGAGCCAGCGCTGGGCGAAGGTGCATCTAACCCGATCAGTTACTTCAGGACACGGACCTTCCCTCTTTACCGGCAGAGAGCGCGCCCCAGGGAAGCTGCCGACGGCTCCGCGAGGGCGCTCGTGTCTACTCGGACCGCCCC